GTTCCAAATTCTTTCGCTTTTTTGTTTCCAATGCGATGAACCGATAAGGCGGATTATATCCGTTGTTACCAAACACGAGCACATAATATTATTATTGAGACAGGGCGGTACTCAAACTTCCAAAGGGCTATAACTTTGTTACTTTAATTTTACCAGAAAAATGGTAAAGGAAAAAACATTTCTTTTGATCAGATCTACTCACTGTTAAAATAAATGACTCAACTTCGAAGTATATATAGATACGCTCAATATTCTGTATGTATACAACATTATCAGATTAAAGTCCCTAATAAATTTTAATTCTACAGTAGGCCATAAGAATAGGCTGTGTTTCTTCTGGCTGCAAACGTGTGCGTCCTGGCTGGTTTTGGGTTCGTGAAAAAACAGGCTGTGATTTTTTAGGGGGTTCGAGAGTTCGGCATTTCCGCTTTCCGGTACGAAATGCATTTTGGTTCGAGATTACGCGTAAAGGATACTGTTGATTTAGGTGCAATGTTTTCTGTGTCCATTGTTATTGTTTTTCGTTATTATTTTTGGGTGATGGTGTTTGTATAGGTTCGCTGCTCTTTTCCGTGAACAGATCCACTGACTAAATTCTTGCTGCCAGGTTTGTAATTTTGCTATAATTCCGTTTGTCGTGTCATAATTGTCTAGAGCAACGATAGGAGTTTGTTTGATCCAAAGTTATTCCGCAATTTTAAAACATTTAAATATTCCACTCTTTATGAAATGTAACCGCGGAAACATGCATGTCGTGTGTTGCTTTTTCGTTTTAACAATTGCTCAAAATCTTCTTGTACAGGGTGTTCCTTAACGATATGCGAATATCTAAGGGTGTGAATCTACATTTAAAATTAATGTTAGTTTGCGTTATAAAGTATGGTCCAAAAATGTTTCCTTACAAAACTCGGGGTAGGAAAAAAATGGAATTTAATCAATATTTTCAGATATTTAACTTATATTTAGTACGTAGTGAAAGCTAATAAAGGTGCATATTTCTCAACGCAAAAATGATTTTAACCTCAATAGTAACGTGCGTACGAGTATTGACTCCGATATTTCTTAAGAAAAAAATGGTACCGCATTTTTTTCCTGAAACCTGTGAATGTAGACAACATATCAGCTCTATACATACAAAAAACGTGTAAACGGTGTAAAATTCATTCTCCCTGAGGCTTTTCTAGATAGCAGACTGGAAATCATTTTATATTTATTTTATGCGGAGTTCTTTTCTCAATTACAATAGTTACTTTCGTCGCGATCGCACTTTTTACTTTTTATGAAAAAAAGAATTCCTCTTGCATAACAATGTCATTACGCGACCGTCGTCCCGGTGTTTTCCAGAATTACATTTGCGTGATATCTGAATAGTCCGGGCAACATTTTCGCGTCTGATGAGGGTATTTGGAGGAGCGACCAGTATGATCAAGTATACGAGTTGTGATGAATAACTTAAGATTTTTTCAGGGAAAGATGCCCTCAAAAAAACCTTGTTTGCCATTTTTCCAACTCTCGCGAAACTTTTTAAATATTGGAATGCCAGGGCTTGTAGTCACTTGGCCTACCCTTCATTCAAAGATGCCTGTTGACACCAATTCATAGACGTGGTGGTGGCAAGCAAAAATAAGCATTTCTTTATTAAGTTTCTGTTCTATAAGCACGCAGGTACCGTTAATGGCTGCGCGTCGGGAGACAAAAAACCGAACGCTAAAATCTAGTATAATACACAATTTTTTTCTGTGAGGGGAAAAACGACGGTTATTGAAAAATTATATTATGTATTACAATATTCGAACAATGTGAAGTATACACCACTGTTATGTCCTTAAAAAATCGAAAAAGTCCTGGCTTCGATGGTATTAAAAGCGAGCATTTGAAAATTATAACCGAGGACATAACAGAACCACTCACTTACCTAATCAACAAATGCTTTGAATCTGGCATATATCCCTCAATTTTAAAAAAAGGTAATATAATACCGATACATAAATCAGGAACAAAAACAGATGTTAACAACTATAGACCAATATCAATAATATCCAGTGCAGCAAAGGTTTTTGAAAAAGTTTTATCTACTAGAATGATTCGATACCTCACAAAATTCAAAATTTTAAGTGAAAATCAATATGGATTTACAGAAGGGAAGGCTACATCGGACGCAATAACTAAAATTGTAAATCAAATACATCAAAATATTGATAACAGAATCCCTTCAATCTGCATTTTTGTTGATTTAAAGAAAACTTTCGACACAGTTAATCACAAATTATTATTAGAAGCATTGGAGAGAATTGGTTTCAGAGGAAACGCGTACTCACTGATTGAAAATTATTTGTCAAATCGCCCACAATCTGTGCAGATATCAGGATCATTTAGTAAAGAAATGTATATTAAGTGTGGTGTCCCACAAGGAACTGTCTTAGGTCCGCTGTTATTCAATATATATTTAAATTATATTTTCCAAATTAATTGTGTTGGCAAAATAACTAGTTTTGCAGATGATACTGCAATATTATATGAAGGCACTGACTGGTGTGATCTGAAAAATGTAATGATTTTATCAAAATTATTCGGTGGTTTAACAGTAGAAAATTAAGCATTAACTATTCTAAAACACATTTTTTACCATTTGGATCTTATGCTAAACATCTGCCAAATTACACAAATTTCTCCTTCAACATTAATGATCAAAAAATGCAAATTAATAGAGTGCCCAACATAAAATACCTTGGAGTGGTCTTGGATCCTCACTTACAATGGGACATCCATGTCAATTATATTTTAAAGAAAGTTAGATTTGTATCCTACAAAATTAAATACCTTGGGAATATATTGACAGAAAAATATCCTCGAACATTATACCATGCACTGATTGAGCCTCATCCCACATATGGTATATTAGCATGGGGAGCTGCATGTTCCTCACATATCTATAATTTAGATCTTTTTCAAAAAAGTATTCTAAAAATGATATTTAAAAAACCGAAACTTTATCCCACTGAAAAATTATACGCAGATGTTCGAATGTATGATATAAGACAGCTTTATTTCTTACACAGTATCACTCACTACCATAAATTTGTACACCGACCAAAAAATTAAACATAATCATTATACAAGGTACAAAATTCGTGGCACAGTAGTTCCTCAACCGCATAAATCTATAATGCAGCGATCATATCTCTATTTAGCGCCTAAATTTTATGAAATTATACCTAAAGACTTAAAAGATTTACGTTTCGGAAATTGTTTCAAAAGAAATTTAAAAAAATGGCTACATTCTATATCTAGGACTGAAATTCATAAACTCATAAATACGAACATCAACTAAATACATAAAATCTACTGTAGCTAATTTTTGTCATTTGCATTCTACAGTTTCAACTTAAATTATTGGTCCATGTACAGGTGATGCCTTCTATTGGGCCTGTTTTGATCTTATATTTATTTACTCATATTGTTTGTTATCTTTGTACATTGAGTGAATAAATATTATTATTATTATTATTATTATTATTTAAGTCAGAAAATTGTTGATGTGAAATTTGAATTTTAAAATTAGTAGTCTATGTTGTACAATCATACCTACGTTGCTAAGGAAACTTTTAAAGTAATCAAATACAGTGGACATCCGGTAATCCGACAAACATTATGCAGGGCAGTGTCGGAGTATCGAATTTGTTGGATTATAGAGCACTGCGCAAGACCCCCTATAGTCCGGAATTTTTTACAAAAGATTACCTTGTAATCCGACAAATTACATATCCAATGGTAAGATTATATATGTTATGTATATGTACTGTATGTACTTTGAAGTACAAATCGTACATAGTTTATGTATGTCGAATTTAGTAAATTAAATAACAATAGAGAGCTTACGTTTTATTATAAAATTAAGCATAAATGCACATACATATGTACCAAAATAATCAAGAATTATTAATCAAAATCATTAATGAATTTACCAAACTATGAAGCTTGGAATATTCATCATTTTTTTTTTGTTTAAGGTTGTTATAACGCGAGATCAGAGCTTTGTCCCTCAGTCTTCTCAAAAGTAAAAGTTCGTTGTAGGATGTACCATTCTCTTCAGCCCATTGTAAACCTAGCTCAAAGGCGTTAATTGCGACTTGCGCTGTGACTTGTGGAGCAGTTGCAATCACGTCGTCGTTATTTTCCTGATTGTTTGTTGAATAATTAGAAACCTTTTTATAATCTCTTCGTCAGACATTTCATGAAAAACATTTTCCTCTTTATCCATTCCACGGCACCAGATTTCCAAATCTTCCGGACTTATCTGTGTTTCAGTAGCGACTTGTTCTATAACTTACGAAGTAACACTGATTTATAGAACGTTGCTAGGAGTGGTGACTATATCTGGCCATAACTTTTTCCAAGACGATTTAATAGTTGATGACGGTAACGCATTCCACGACTGACAAAGAGCGAAAACCAAGTCTTTCATATTAAATTCTTTTAAAGTTTTTTCTATTGGTTGGTCTTTTGATACGGTTCTCAGAAGTAGGTTTTTCTTATAGTCTTGCTTGACAAACTGAATGATATCCTGGTGCATTGGTTGGATCAGTGCAGTGCAATTTGGCGGAAGAAACATCGCAGTGATGCATTTATCCTCAGTTGTTAGTTCTTCTTCAGACGGATGAGCGCAACAATGCATTTTCTAATTTCAGGTACGGAGCATTCATCAAACCACTTTTTGAAAAGGTCTTTCGTCATCCATGCACTTTTTTGTCCGTAATAATGTACAGGTAAATCAATGTTTTTGAATGCCCGTGGTTTATTAGATTTCCCAATGACCATCATCTTAAGCGCGTGTGTGCCCGCAGCGTTAGCACATGGTAGTATGGTTACACGCTCTTTACTTACTTTTCGTCCAGCTACGGATTCTTCGTTACAAGAAACGAAAGTTTTGTTAGGCATCACACGCCAAAAAAGCCCTGATTCGTCTGCATTGTACACCTGTGACGAGTCAAGATTTAAATCGTTCACCTTTTGCAAAAATCTTAATTTAAAAGGCATCGTTAGAAAGTTTCTCTCCTGTAATAGTCATTAATCGTATGCCATGACGACAAAATCAACTTTTTTTATTATTTCCTTATAAAAAAACTTAGCTGTCATTGCCAACATGGGTCCTGAAATTGGTGCATGCCTATTCCTTTCCTGAAGAAACCACATGTACAAAGCTTCTTCCACTTCTGGATGTCCAGCTTTCTTGAGTGTCTAGCTCTTGCCTGGCCCGCAGTCAGTAGTTGACACGAGCTTCTTGAGCTTCTCGTGGTTTCTTTTAATGTCATAAATTGTAGATCGGCTTACGCCGTATTCACTTGCTAAACTACTCAAAGTTTCATTGCGATTTAAGCGGTCTAAAATATCACATTTTTCTTTAATTGTCAATGTTTTGTGCTTTCGCTCCTGAGTGATGAATTATGACATTACTAGGTACTATAGTTAATACACAATGAATAAATAGTAAACAATGAACGCACGCTAGGCCGTACCGCTATCACCAGTAGTCAAATTCAAACTAAGTAAAACAATGCTTACGCGTCGAGCACGATAGCGGTGGCGAGTACAAGTTGTAACCTGTTCAAACCTGCGTGATCTACATTATCGAAGATTGTCAAATACGTATGTATGTAATACATATTCAAAGACATGTCGGATTACAGGGGGCGCAGGATTAGACATGGGCCAGATTATCGGGGGTCCACTGTAGGTGCCAAATTAATTTTGTGATTTGATTTAAAAATTGTGAACTTGTTTAGAAGTTATTTTTCATACTATAAAGTAAAAAATGTCTGATTCCGAGTTTTCTTTGGCTCCACCGGAATTAGTAGAAGCAGCCAAAGCAGCGTCATAAAAATTATTACCAGCTAAATCGCGGATTTCGACTGTTGTACCGAATAGTTTAAGTAACGTGTCATTCACGCAATGCACATTTAACAATTATTGTGCTACTGATATAAAGGAAATGTAACTTTATTATACGTATATAATAAAATATTCTAAAATTAAATATCAACCTTTGCTTATGTGTTCATACAATATTCGGGACAAAAGTACTAATTTTTTCCCGGGGAAAAAAGTAATATCATAAAAAGTGACATATTCTTATCTGTCAACAGAGATAAAATGTCAAACTTAGTAGCGTCACAAAAATTATTGCCAGCTAAATCGCGGATTTCGACTGTTGTATCGAACAGTTTTGAGGAACGTGTCATTCATGCAATGCACATTTAACAATTGTGCTATTGACCTAAAGGAAATGTAACTTTATTATATAATAAAGTATTTTAAAATTAAATATCAACCTTTGCTTATGTTTTCACACAATATTTTCCCGGAGAAAAAAGTTATTTCATAAATAGTGACATTTTGTTCCTGTCAACACAGATAAAATGTCAAACATTTTTCCCGTCACAGAAAAAATATACTTTTTTCATTGATCGCGCTGTGTGACGTAAGCAGCAAGCCCCTTGATCCATCGCTGATCTTGTGAAGGCCCTGATCTTTTTCTCCTATCGATTTTGTTCTTGAATCTATCGAATTTCAATGACACTGCCTACTGGTTTCGTCTTTTTTGGTTCGGCAACACCGCCTCAGAATACAATAGACACATCCACCATTTTTTCAAATCTGCGTCTAGGACTGAAATTCATAAATGAATACGTTAAGTAAATTCATAATTTACTGAGACTAATTTTTGTCCTTCTTTGTTATTTGTATACTAAGTGACATATAAATCCGAAAACTTAGTTTAAATGGTTTTATTTTAATAAAAGTTGCTTACTGCTTACTGTAAATAACAAGTGAAAAAATTTTCAGCCTTATCAGTTGGACATTCCGGTTTTTATACTGCTGTTTTTTAATTCACTAACGCTCTAAAAATGAATATTTCAGCCGCAGTAAAGAATCAACGTTGGCGGATTTTACGATCGGTTACGATGCCTAGAGTACGGAGACCTGTACGATTTCGTCAATTTAGTGAGTTTGATAGGGGCCGTATAGTGGGACTTCGGGAAGCTGGACTTTATTTTCGGGCAATTGCAGTTAGAGTGCAAAGAAGTGTAGATACTGTGATTAGGTGTTGTCAGGCATGGCTTCGAGAAGGCCGTACGCAAAGAGCAAGGGGCACTCGACGCCGCCGTAGAACAATAGACCGTGAAGATCGCCGCCTAAGATTATCGGCCTTAAGGGACCGTTTCTCCACTACCAGGTCCATTGCAAATTAATGGTTTGCAGAACACGGAAGACCTATTGGCATGCGAAGTGTTTACCGACGAATGAGAAGTTTTGGCTTGTTTTCATACCGGCCACACTGGGTCCTCCCTTTAACTCGAGAACACCGACGTAATCGCCTTGAGTGGTGCAGACAACGGTCACTCTGGGATCAGGAATGGAACAGTATTGTCTTTAGTGACGAGTCTCGATTTTGTTTAGGCATGCACGATGGTCGTGCCAGGGTTAGAAGGCGACGTGGTGAAAGGAGGAATCCACAGTTTTTTGTTGAAAGACATGTTCATCACACTGTTGGAGTTATGGTTTGAGGTGCTATAGCTTATGGTTCCAGGTCACCTTTAATCTTCATCAGAGGTAACATGAACGCGCAGCGTTATATCCACGAAGTTCTAGAACCCCATCTTTTACCCTACCTTGACACCCTGGCAAATCCAACTTTCCAACAAGATAATGCCCGACCACATGTTGCAAGAGTCACAATAGACTTCTTTCAACATAATGATGTCACATTGTTACCATGGCCACCAAGATTTCCCGACTTATCCCCAATTGAGCACGTGTGGGATTTGATGGGTAGGAGATTGCTCAATTTGCAACGTCCTCCTCAGACTCTAGAAGCACTTCGAGAGGAATTGGTGGTTGCCTGGAATGAGATACCACAGGAGGACATTGACCACCTGATCAGAAGCATGCCTAGGCGCGTTGGAGAATGCGTAGCACATCAGGGTGCATCCACACATTATTAAAGGTCAATTTTTTATCATTTACTTACTATTATTTCATTATTTGATAATGTACTCGTAAAATGCAAACAATTAAAATTTAGACAAAAATCTATTGACTTTTCCACCATGGGTGACGTATATCATGAATTTATACACAAATCGACTGGCCATACGGGCCTAGCAATATGAAGATCCCTTAAAGGCGCTTTTTGAATAAGATTATGGAATTCATTCGAATCATAATATTTTTCCTATCAGATGTGAATATATTGCCTGGACTACAACCACGGTACATTTCGTATGATATTGAATAAACAGTCCGTCATTATATTTCTGGTGTCGACCGGTTTCGAACGGGATATAAGGAAAATCCCCAAGACGTGCCCTAATACCCGTTCCCCGATCGAGAACGCTGGAAACAAATGAATTTACAATGGAATGGCGCGGCAGGGGACATTTTGCGCTTCACCTGGCAAAGGCAATTAACCTGTCGATATCTGTCGATAATATAAAGTAAATCCGGAAATACCGCTTCCGAAACATACCTTGTGCTCGGGGATTTATTTTATTTTTTATTTCCTGCGTCAAGAAGCGAGGAAGTATCGTAATTGCCAATATCTCCGTCGGCTTGTTTATCATCTGTAGTCGGTCTAGTCATTTGCACTTCAATAACAGTTGAATGTGCCGTTGATCGGCACGAGGATTATGTAAAAAATCTATAAAATGTCAGCTAGCAGTTTTTGTTTGCTCACTAGGATCGCTGTGAGTGTCCATCTATGGAAGAATGACTCAACTACACGCATTGCTGGTTGCATACGTTTTGAGAAGCTGAGTAGTCTGTAGTTTCCATATCTGTTGCATGGGGTTTTTACTGTTAACTTAGAGCAATCAAGTCTTCAATCCGAATATCGTCTAAAGATCTTACACGACTAAGTGCTACATAAGCTTAACCATCAGCAAATAGTCCCGAGCCTATACAGTTAAGTCATTTATTTTAACAGTGAGTAGATCTGATCAAAAGAAATGTTTTTTTCCTTTACTATTTTTCTGGTAAAATTAAAGTAACAAAGTTATAGCCCTTTGGAAGTTTGAGTACCGCCCTGTCTCAATAATAATATTATGTGCTCGTGTTTGGCAACAACGGATATAATCCGCCTTATCGGTTCATCGCATCGGAAACAAAAAAGCGAAAGAATTTGGAACGATGTTTTTACAATTATTTTATTCAGTTGTATACAGTCAGTGTCAGTCGGTAACGCGTGAGTTAATAGTGGTGTCTGTTGCGTGGCTCAAACGAAATCAAAAATGGCACATGTTTACGAAAATGCTGAACTTGTGGACATGATTCTTATTTACGCGGCATCACGGATTTATGCGGATCGGTTTCCCAATCGAGTGCAACCAAGCCCTCGTGCCTTTGTTAATGTAGTACAACGGGCTCGTGAATCAGGTGACTTAAGACCTCACAGGGGACGGCCTGCCGGTGCTCCAAGACCGCACGATCAAATACAGGTCCGCACTGAAATACTTGTCGGGAGGATACTTTATAAAACAAAGTAACATTTTTTTTAACTTTTTTTTTATTTTTACACACATATTTTGGTTTATCTTCCTTCTACAATCATTATCTGAAAATTGATGACTCAACTTCAAAGTCACCCTATATAAACAACTGCATGATCGACTGTACAACCTTGTATCTTGTGGACTGTAGAAGCCGAACTAAAGATTAATGGCATCATTCGTCTCTCAGCAATTCCATAGCTGTATTTCGATATCGGTTCAATCATGTGCACACCATCTGAACGCGTAATTCGCGTGTATTAGACTCATTAGCACCTACGCATGTAAAAGGAATGAATAAGGTGATAACGCACTACTTGAAAAAGTATCTGCCTCTAGTGTGCTGTGCCGAGTGCCCGAATCAACAAAGAGTAAGTCCGAAACTGCACGCATGCGCAGATCGCGCGCTAGCGCTATCTCTCAGAGGATCTATAAAAGAATAATCTATTAATCCTGGTGGTCCGATTAAGGATAATGGAAAACTGTTATTAAATTATTGCATTGTTATCGGTGCTTAATACGTGTGTGAAGTTTCAAGTTAATCAAACTTCTAGAAATTGATGAAAATTATGCTCACAGATTCCCTTACATAGATGCATACATAGGTACGTACATACATGCATACAGGCCAAGCTTAGAAAAGCGTATGTTTTTTTGCAAAAAGTCAAAAATTTATTATATAAGGAGAAGATGAATCTAGCCAGTTATAATTATTTACGAACAAAAATTTACTTTAATTCAATCCC